TGCCTCGGCGGGGAGGGGGTAGGCTGGAAACGGCCGAGGCAAAGCCCGGGCCCCCCTCCCTGGCCGAGCGAGGCACCGCGGAGGGACCCTGGTGGCCGAACAGCGGCGTGGGGGAGGGGCGCGTGGGGGAGGGGCGGCCGCGTGAGCGCCCCTCGGGCTGCGGCCCGGGTGGGGTACAACTGCTGCGGAGTGGGGTTCCGTGCGGAGAGCTGACCGCCGCCCCGACAGCTGCGGCTCGGGACCTGGGCGGGCCGGCAAGGGGTGACTGTGGCCATCTGACACCCCCTCCACCTGCGGGGACTCCGGTGCCCGCCAAATCTGGGGCGTGCGGTGGCTGGAGGGACCGGGGTCCCGTGAATGGTTGGAGCGGCTGATGACCAAGGGCAGGTGGTGGCCGCACTCCTCGCAGACCACTTCCTGGGGTGACACTTGAACCTACCCCCCGCCCCCGACCCCAAACTGGCAGTAGGAATCTCGGGTCACTTAAGATTAGAGGCCACCAGAGAGTGTCTGGGGAGCCAGATGCCCCCAGCTCCACCCTCGTCATCTTTGCCCCGGGCTTTTTTGTGTCAAGTGCAGCCCCCACCCCCATCACCCTGTCATTTTGGGGTGGCCGAACTGCCCAGCTGTGACTTCACATGGCTGCCATTCACTGTCACTCTCTTGATGAAACCGCCCATACTCTGACCACGTTGGGGGGCGTGAACTGCCCACCCAGCTGCTCCGGGCTTGACCATCACTCGGCACCTTCCCCTGAGATGACATGTCACCTTGCACTCGGGGCTGCCCCATCCTGCTGTGGTGGAGATAGTCCGCTAGCAGGCAAGAGGTTCCCAGCAGTGCCCCCACCTCCGACTTGGAGGGATTTCTATCTTCTTTAGGCTAGGTGTCCAAAACCCCAGCCTCGAGGCATCCAAATCCTCAACTCTGGCGGCAGAGCAGCACAAATGCACCAAACTTCCAAACGTTCGTTCACCACCTCGCTCTTTGCAAAACTATTGATCTGTGTGACTTTTTGTGGCACATGTTGAGACACCTTTAGATGGGGGGGGGGATAATGTGTTTAATAGAGACTTGGTAAAGTCTTCCCACTTTCAAGCCCCCTATCCCCGCCAGGTTGATCCAAAAAAGGGAAAAGTTTAGAAAAAGTTATCCCAGCGAGCCTGCAGATTTGGCATGGAGGTGAAGGAATAAAGACTCATGGGGAGACGGGTTGCCTGTGGGGCTGCCTGCGGCAAGGTGCGGAGAAGAGGGAAGCAGAAGCTGTCAGATGAGTTAGGGGATTGGCAGCTCACGCCTGTGTTCAGAACTTGGGGTCTGGTATTGCGTGGTTTTGATCTTACGAACTGGGTGCCTGGGAGGGAGAAGGGCGTGAAAGAATCCAAGGTTGCGTTGGGTCTTTGTGTGCCATACTCCCCCCCCCCCCGCTCTTCGGTCTGTTTGTTTTTATAGCTGTAACATCGTCTCAACAAATTATATTTTTAATAAAACAC